CACCCCTTTACATGTTTGGATTGACACCTACATTCTCAAAATTATCACCCGCATCCTCGGGTGGGTCTTGGTCAATGTCCATATTAGGGCCCAAGGGTTGTCTAACTAATTGGTTTTGTTCATCTCGTCCTCACATATAACAAACTACCTACGAATAAAAATGTAAACAAACAAAAGTATGTACAAGAAGCAACGTACCTCATCCTATGATGAACATCACGAGACTTACCTCCGTTGTCCAGAAATCATCTTCTCAATTAAACACTTGCCTTCCCCAGCAGCAACGCCAAAAATTCTTGATTTTTTCTATTGTATTCTCTAATGTCCTAACATGAACCCTCAAAGTGTATATGACATATGTAAATGGGTGAGTGTCACTCTCACTTGGGTTCAATACAAGCAATGGGAAAATGGATGTGTGGTGGAATGAAATGTGATATGTGTATGTGTGTGTGTGTGTACAAAAGTGCTCCCCAAGCACAAGGAGTCTTTTGAGTGCTATGTTTAACTTGGAAAAGTATTCCAAGGTCGTCTCCTCAAGAAAGGAGGTGAATCGTGATGAAGGTGATTTTGGTGAAAAAGAGAAAAGTGTAAACATCTTTTGTTGGTTTGAGTTTGGTGATTTGTGTTTGTCTCTTGATGGAATTAAAATGGAAAATAAGTGTTGGCTAATCCGAAAGGTAAGTGAGAAGCGAGGGACAAAATGTAAGTGAGGATCCAAGCATAACCCGTGACAAGTCTATGGGATATCAAAGACTCACACTCACGTCCACACTCAACCTAGTAAAATCTAATCAACGTACACTACGAGGAGGAAGGAAAATGAGCTGGAATGGCATACCCAAGCAGAGGTCTCCCTTGGATTAGCTAACTTAAAAGCTTAGCTACTCATAGTTAAGGGAAAAAAAACAACGTAATGGAAAGACATTGTATAGAAGTGAAGATTGGAGCTAAGTTAAAGTAAGTGCATTTAATACCCATCTTAAATCTTGAAAATGAAGAACTTGAAATCATTAATGGTGAAAGCTAGAATGAAAGACTAAACTTGAAATTAACTTGTAGTAAATAGCATTAAAGAAATTCATTGAAACTTACAAGATTCTTACCAAAGATTACAAGAGAAATGACCAAAAGAAAATGTGAAAAAATCTAAGCTTTCTCTCTCTAACTATGTCTTCTACCTAGAGCTTCTCTCTCTACAATGCAATATGAATTGAATAAAACATAATGATTGATTCAAAAAAATGTACATGGAGTCCCCCTTTAGCCTGTGATCTGATCCCAATCATAGGGGGCTAAAAGAGATGGATTGGTGCAAGCTAGGACAAGCCTAGCCTTTCTCTTTTGTTATACCTCTTCTCTCTCCTCCTCATTATTGAAAAAATATCCAAAGTCCAAGAAGAGGTGAGGGGAGGCTTCTAGATGTGTAAGGAATGTCAGGGGATTTGTTGGAGAAGTGTAGATGGGGCCCCCAAATGGTAGAGCTTGAGTTATAGGCTATTTGGGCAATCTGAGCAAAACCTTCCAGAAGGTCAACATAAACCTTCTGGAAGGTTTTTGCAAGAATAGTTAAATCAGCATTCTAGTGAGAAAAACTTTCTGGAAGGTTTCATTCCAGTAGTTAAAACCTTCCAAAAGGTTTTGGCAGTTTATAGGCAGTCCAAGGCAAAACCTTCCAGAAGATTTTTAGCCAAACCTTTCGAAAGGTTTTCAACCAACTTGAATTTTCTTGGTTTCTTCACCCCCAAGCCTTTCTTTCAGCTACCCCCTTATCTTCATTGACTCCAAACACTTCAATGGGGGCTTAACTCAAACCATTTACATCATTTTACCTACGTTTACACAAAACTCCATCAAAATGAAGATTAAATGCATTCCTTCCTAATTTCATGACAAAAGCAAGTATAAATGGGTATATTAGCATAAAATATATGTCATGTTTTTGTTATAAATAGATATCATCACCTAAACCCTTGGTTTTTTGAGTTTTACCCCAAGCCCTAATCTCTTTAAGTCTTTTCAAAAGTTCCAAAATCTTTGCAATGGCTCGCACAGGGAGAATCATCCTTGACGTTGTGGACCCAATTGAGGGGTTGTTTATGGCATTTTTGTCACTCTTGGTGTTTGGGGCACTATTGCTTTGCATGGTCCGCACCAAGCGCACTGGGCCAAGTTCTCCATTACCCCGAGGGTGTTAGTGCCTATAAGAGAAGTGGGGAGGGGTCGAGTGTAGACTGGAATGAGCGAAGGAAGAAGGCTAAGAACGTGCACGCTACCAAAGCATAGAGGAAAAGAATGTAACTTGTGAACGGTTTATGGATTGAATTTCCATGGGCTTGAACAACGAGGTTGTAAGGTTCATTGAGGTTCATGGGATTGGGATCTAGTTTGAGTCTGTGAGTGGGTTCAATTTGGTGTTGTGTCAGGAGTTTTACCAAAACTTGAGGGTGGTGGATGAGGTAGCAGGTATTTTGAGAACTAATGTGAGGGACAAGACTTTTGATATGACCCTAGCCGTGATTGCCACCCTAATGAAGTGTGAGAGGCCACATCCCAACACCCCAGTGTACACACACAACATTCCTGGGGTCAAAACCATATCGAAGTATGTGGGGTCGATCTACAAGGACCCAACTCAAATTTGGGGAACGATCAAAGTAAGGGGCCTCAAGCATGCGTACGGGATGATGAATAAAATTTTTCATTAAAACTTGCTCCTAAAGGGAGCCAAGAAGAGCCCAAACATGGAAAAGCTCGCTCTTTTGGATGCGGTGATGACTAGGAAGGCTTTGGACATAGCACTCTTAATATAGGAGGTGATGAGAGAATTTGCCTAGGCTAGAAAGCCAAAGGTGAACCTTCCATTTGGCAATCTAGTCACCCGGATGTGTGACCATTTCAAGTTCAAGGGATATGTCTCCAACCTGATGAATCCTCCCAAGAACGGAGCCATAGTGAAGGCAAGCAATAACAAGAGGTCAACTATGAGTCAGTGTGAGCATGCTAGGGTTCCAAGACTAGAGTCATCTGTTGCAGAACCATCCTCTACAGGGTTATCTGCTCCTAGGCCGTCCATTTCTGCCCCAGTGTGCACAGTATCTTAGCGCCTCGATGTGTTGGAGGAGATAGTGCAGGGGGATATCGGTGATGATGACCAAGCTATTCCAACACACATTTCCTAGCAAGTTGATCCTCAATGGACCTCCACCTCTGGCTACCAGACCTTCCACCTCTGCTCCTTCAACTTCCACAGTTGTTGAGGTGGGAGATTCGGACGACGAAGACAAGGAGGAGGATGAGAGTGAGGACAAGGGTGATGAGGAGCATGCTGATGACGATGAGGCTGAGGATGATGGGGATGATGAGTAGGATACTCTTGTTTCTGTCCTTTTTGATCTTGGGTTGTACATAGCTAGGAGTGGAATTATCAACCTAGTGGAAGAATCTTTAGGAATTTTAGGCTGTTTTGTCTCTTTTTGAATTCTAACTCCATGTACTCAAATTTTGAAAGTAATTAATGAAATGTCATAGTTTTTGTTCCATCTTGCCCAAGTTCATTTCTTTAAATTGCATTATGATTTTTGTATTTTGAATGTTTGGTGAATTACTCATGTAAATGGATTGTTGTAGTTTCATACTCGTTGGTTTGAAAGTAAACTTTGCTAGGGACTGGAAAAGTTCAAGTTGGGGGGGGGGGGTATGATTAGCACGAAATATTGCATATCATGTGTACATTTGAACCCCTTTTATGCTTGCTTTTGTGGTAAAAATGAGAGGAATTGCAATGTTTCGAGATATTAATGCAGTTTCGATATGTTTGTAGGTAAAAGAGCTTAAATGGTGCATGTTAGTCCCCTATCATGGTGCTTAAGGTCAATGGAGATGAGGGGGAGGCTTGACGATGGCTTTGAAAGGTGAAAGAACCAAGAATTGAGCAAAACAAGTTAAAACCTACCGATAGGTTTGTCATAAAACTACTGGTAGGTTTTGGCTACTAGAGTGGATTCTACTAAAAAGCTATCGGAAGGTTTTGGCTACTGGAGTTAAACCTACCAGTAGGTTTGGCTATCGACCTACCAGTAGGCTTTATTGAAAAATGCCAAATTCTGTAACTCAAGCTCTACCATATGGGGGTCCCACCTATGGGTCTCCCACTTGTTCCCCAACACCCCTTACACACAGAAATGCCTCCTCAACCTTAGCATTGGACTTTAAAGGCTCAAGCATTAATAAGGAGGAGAGAGAAGAGAGGAAGCCTAAGAGTTCCTAGGTGACCTCCATGGACGAATTTGCAAGCTCCATTGAGATTATTCAGATTGTATTGCATTGTAGATAGAGAAGCTCTAGGAAGAAAAGATAGTTTTAGAGAAAGCTTAGATTTTTGCATTTCTTCCATCCATACCATTGTAATCTTCTGTAAGACTCTTGTAAGCTTCATTTATTACCTTTAATGTCATTTACTACAAGTGTATTGCAAGTTTAGTTACACATTTTGGATTCCACCATTGTTGAATTGAGTTTTCTTCATTTGAAGCTTTTAAAATGGGTATGGAATGTTTTTCTTCAGTTTAAGATTTCTTGTATCAATCCAAGCTCCAATCCTTATTTCTTTACAATGTCTCTTTCCTTCATTTATGTTCTTGCATTAAATATGAGTAGCTAAGTTTTAGGTTGGCTAATCCAAGGAAGACTTCCTCTTGGGTATGCTAAATCAACTCATTTTCCATTCATCCTCATAGTGTACGATGGTTCGGTTGGACTAGGTTGAGTGTGGATGTGGTTGTGAGTGCTTGATACATTGTAATAAAGAAGTGAAAGATATTCATTCCCCAGCTGCTAGGTGCTATCGTATCTTTTTTGCTACTTGTTTTCTTTCGTACAAGTACCTATCAATCTATTGTACCCCTTCAAGTCTCTCTCCTTAGCTACAATGAGAGAATAACTCTTCTGCTTAGGAAAGTACTCAACTAAAACAAGAAAATGGGGCATTTTCAACTCAGGTAGTAGAGTCAAAGAATGAAAACGAAGCACACAAATCATCAGAATCCGAGGAACAAACAGCGTATAGATGGAAACTTTGCAATGTTACTGCTGGTCCAGATTATATCCCTTGCCTTGATAATTTGCTAGCAATTAGGAATCTCCGGAGTACAAAGCACTATGACCATAGGAAGAGGCACGGTCCAGAAGAGCCCCCCACTTGCCTTGTTCCTCTACCCGAAGGCTATCAACGCTCACTAGAGTGGCCTGCAAGCAGGGAAAAGGTGTACTAATTTGCTTCAACTGATGCTGCCTTTGAATTTTTGTTTACTGTTTTGTTAATGGACATGAAATATTTGTTGTTCCCATAAATTTGGTACCACAATGTTTCCCATAACAAGCTTGCACAAGTTAAAGGACACCAAAATTGGGTTAAAGTTACCGGTGAATTCCATACCTTCCCCTGTGGTGGGACCCAATTTAAGCATGGTGCTCTTCATTACATTGATTTCATACAACAGGTCTGCACTCCCTCTCTCTTCCTCTCTCTCTCACACGCAGACACAAACACACCAACACACTCAGACATATACCACGCTAAGTTATAAATCATGATATATTTTTTTTTTGTTTTATGCAGTAAGTACAGTTCTTGGAGTCTTAGCTTCTTTGCTAGCCAAAAAATTATTTACTTTCTCTTCATCTAGAACCAAGAACTGACTCTTTTCTAGTTTTGACAAATAGAAATGCCAAATGCAGTTTCTTATAGGTGAATTTCTATGTATCTTCATGTACATGAAGATATTTTCCATTTATAGAGATTTTGCATGTCTTCTCCAAGACTGGTGCCAATTGAAAATGAATTGAATGAGGGAGAGAAGCTCAATTTTGTTACAATGGAAGATTATAACTATGTCAGTTGCCTTTAATAATAATGTGAAATGTCTTTGTAATGTGATCTCATGTTCAGTTTTTTTATCATAGCATGGGTAACTTGTTGAAGCAACTATTATGCAATTCTACACTTACTTCCTATTATTTATTTCTCTTTTTGAAATGCTTTGGATGTGCCTCATTACAGAAGACTAGCTTCATTTTTAAACATGCTTACCACATACCAACATCTTTATTTTAGTATGTATGTATGAATTGTTGCAGCCTGTGCCTGATATAGCCTTGGGAAAACGCTCACAAGTGGTATTGGATGTCAGATGTGGGGTTGCTAGCTTTGGAGGCTATCTCTTTGATAAAGATGTCCTAACCATTTCATTTTCTCCAAAAGATGAACATGAAGCTCAGGTTCAATTTGCACTTGAAAGGGCAATCCGTCGTATATCTGATGTGATGGGTACAAAGAGACTTCCTTTCCCAAGTAGAGTTTTTGATATGGTCCATTGTGCGCTGAGTAGGGTTCCCTGGCATATTTAACGTATGTCATATACTTCTTATAACTTTTTCTGAAGAATGGTGTTGGAAAATCTCAAATTCATCCAGCTTGATATGTTGTTAGAGATGCATTTTGTAAAATCCGGGTAAATTTTAACTTTTTATGAAAAATGGCAAAATGGTAATTTGTCACTACAGTACGGGTTGCAAATCTAAAATTTTTTAGAACTCAGATGACGAAACGGACCTCACCGTTAGATTCATCTCACAAAATCTAGTTATCACGTCAAATTTTATCGAATTCTGAGATAGTCGAATTTTTTACGTTTTACGAGGTGATCGAGTCTCGAGCGACCCAACAACGGGATTTTGATAAAAAAAAATTGAAAGTTAGAAAATAATTTAAAACAAATTAAAATAAAAAATATTTTGAACTTGAACTAGGACGAAATTTAATCGTTTCAGGGCTAAAACGGACCCGAAAAAATGGGTCATGTGGCGCGTTGTGGACCAAGCGTCTAACACCCCAAAAAACACCCTGGGCGGCATTACATTCTAAAACCATTTCATATCATGAGAGCACTAATATAATCCCTTAAAAAACAAGACTTCATTTGTCATCCACGAATATTTACAATATTATCCAAAAGAATAAGCCCAAGTCATGGCTATTACATTTCAAAAATTAATTAAAAAAGCGCAGCGGAATAAACAAAAGAACCTAGACTACACAATGTTCCAAAAGAATGTCCTAGTCTAGTACAAAAGGAAAGGAGTTCGCTCTATGCGTCAACCTCGGGATCCACACTCCCGTCCAGTGAAGTCTCCCAAGTAACGGGCTCCTCGACTCTTACATCCTCCTCCTCAAGCGGATAATTTGAAAAATATTAGCAATAGGGAGTGAGCACGAAACTCTGTAGAAAACTTCTCCCAAACTCATACAAGGTATAGAAAAGCATTTAAAACAGTCGCTCTCAATTTTAACATAACATAGATACATAATTTGAAATAAAGCAGTGACATTTAAAAAAGATCTCAGGTTTATTTAAAAACATTACTTAAATGAATAAACGAGCACCACATACAAATAATAACCATTAATTACCATAACTAATTCCCAATAATTCTTTCGGTAGGTGGCATACTTTGTGGTAACCTCCACTCCCTTTTAGGTCACCATTGATTCTCAAGCTTCCTTATCGGGAACCTCTTGAGATAGGCTGAGCATCCTTATATGGAACCTCTCACCAATCACTACATTGTTTTCCAACCATCCTTACCGGGAACCTCTTGGGAAGGGGTGCGCATCCTTACAAGGAACCTCTCACTCATGTGATCACAAACAACTCAACCAAGCATACAATTCTAACATTTATCTCAATTTACAAGCATCTATCTAAAATTCCCAAAATATATCATGCAACAATTCCACAACCAACTAAAAAAATATGTGAGATCACAATAATATCATTTTTCTACCCAACACAAGCACTAAGGTTTTGTAATCCATAATAAAGAAAGTNGCAACAATTCCACAACCAACTAAAAAAATATGTGAGATCACAATAATATCATTTTTCTACCCAACACAAGCACTAAGGTTTTGTAATCCATAATAAAGAAAGTATTTAGGAAAGAAATACATNTGTATGTATGAATTGTTGCAGCCTGTGCCTGATATAGCCTTGGGAAAACGCTCACAAGTGGTATTGGATGTCAGATGTGGGGTTGCTAGCTTTGGAGGCTATCTCTTTGATAAAGATGTCCTAACCATTTCATTTTCTCCAAAAGATGAACATGAAGCTCAGGTTCAATTTGCACTTGAAAGGGCAATCCGTCGTATATCTGATGTGATGGGTACAAAGAGACTTCCTTTCCCAAGTAGAGTTTTTGATATGGTCCATTGTGCGCTGAGTAGGGTTCCCTGGCATATTTAACGTATGTCATATACTTCTTATAACTTTTTCTGAAGAATGGTGTTGGAAAATCTCAAATTCATCCAGCTTGATATGTTGTTAGAGATGCATTTTGTAAAATCCGGGTAAATTTTAACTTTTTATGAAAAATGGCAAAATGGTAATTTGTCACTACAGTACGGGTTGCAAATCTAAAATTTTTTAGAACTCAGATGACGAAACGGACCTCACCGTTAGATTCATCTCACAAAATCTAGTTATCACGTCAAATTTTATCGAATTCTGAGATAGTCGAATTTTTTACGTTTTACGAGGTGATCGAGTCTCGAGCGACCCAACAACGGGATTTTGATAAAACAAATTTGAAAGTTAGAAAATAATTTAAAACAAATTAAAATAAAAAATATTTTGAACTTGAACTAGGACGAAATTTAATCGTTTCAGGGCTAAAACGGAGCCGAAAAAATGGGTCATGTGGCGCGTTGTGGACCAAGCGTCTAACACCCCAAAAAACACCCTGGGCGGCATTACATTCTAAAACCATTTCATATCATGAGAGCACTAATATAATCCCTTAAAAAACAAGACTTCATTTGTCATCCACGAATATTTACAATATTATCCAAAAGAATAAGCCCAAGTCATGGCTATTACATTTCAAAAATTAATTAAAAAAGCGCAGCGGAATAAACAAAAGAACCTAGACTACACAATGTTCCAAAAGAATGTCCTAGTCTAGTACAAAAGGAAAGGAGGTCGCTCTATGCGTCCACCTCGGGATCCACACTCCCGTCCAGTGGAGTCTCCCAAGTAGTGGGCTCCTCGACCCTTACGTCCTCCTCCTCAAGCGGGTAATCTGAAAAATGTTAGCGATAGGGGGTGAGCACGAAGCTCTGTAGAAAAATTCTCCCAAACCCATACAAGGTTTAGAAAAGCATTTAAAACGGTCGGTCTCAATTTTAACATAACATAGATACATAATTTGAAATAAAGCAATGACATTTAAAAAGGATCTCAAGTTTATTTAAAAACATTACTTAAATGAATAAACGAGCACCACATACAAATAATAACCATTAATTGTCATAACCAATTCCCAACAATTCTTTCGGTAGGTGGCATACTTTGTGGTAACCTCCACCCCCCTTTTAGGTCACCTTTGATTCTCAAGCATCCTTACCGGGAACCTCTTGAAAATGGATGAGCATCCTTACATGGAACCTCTCACCAATCACTACATTATTTCTCAAGCATCCTTACCGGGAACCTCTTGGGAAGGGGTGAGCATCCTTACAAGGAACCTCTCACTCATGGCATCACAAACAACTCAACCAAGCATACAATTCTAACATTTATCTCAATTTACAAGCATCTATCTAAAATTCCCAAAATATATCATGCAACAATTCCACAACCAACTAAAAAAATATGTGAGATCACAATAATATCATTTTTCTACCCAACACAAGCACTAAGGTTTTGTAATCCATAATAAAGAAAGTATTTAGGAAAGAAATACATCACTCTCCAAAAATTAGGGTTTTAAAACTAGAAAGGATATTTCATGGGTATTAAACTCTACTTTGTTCAAAACATGTAATCCTTGCAAAAAGCCTAAGAGAGGATGATTCCATAACATATATATATACCATTGATAGCCAAAACATACATATATAAATATCATAGCTTCAATGTAAGTGAATGAGAGAAAACTCCTACCTTGAATCCTTAGTTTGTAGGAAGAACTTGAGCTTTGATCTTGAATCTACCCCTAAATCTCTTGTTTTTCCCTTCCTTTCTTCCTCTCTAATGCTCTCTAGGATTCCAAGAGGTGTGGGGTGTGAGTGCAGTAAAAGAAATGAGGGAAAATGGGATGAAAATGGGGTTTAATACACCTCAGCCCCGAAATTCACTGTTCACGACCTGTTTTAGTTTTCTCCAAAATTACGGTTTTGCCACTAAGAATCTCCAATTTGATCCATATGACTACCCTAAGATTTTTCGACGTTCTGGATTCATTTTTTAATATTATTTTAACCTAAAAATATTTATTTTTATGATTTATCTCAAAACCAAAGTCAACGTACACNGGTTTTGCCACTAAGAATCTCCAATTTGATCCATATGACTACCCTAAGATTTTTCGACGTTCTGGATTCATTTTTAATGTTATTTTCACCTAAAAAAAAAAAATTATGATTTATCTCAAAATCAAAGTCAACGTATACCCGAAACACTAAAGTTTCTATTTTACCCATTCGAACTGGCTATTAATGAAGTTTTGCGTTGTTTGCAAATAAAAGGTGATATAGGGTGTTTCTTAAATCCTTTTATACTTATTTGAAGCCTAAATGTACTCATTATTCTTATATTTTGATTTAGGATGCAAATGGAGACGTTAAATGCAAAACGAAACTAATTGGACTATTTTGGCATCGCTTCGTTATCTGGGCATAACTCTGTCATCCGAGCTCCGATTGAGATGATTAAAGATGATATGGAATGATAAGAAAGAGCTCTAAAACTTTCATGTTTTGAGGTTTGAGAGATATTAACTGAATCAAGGTCTAAATCGGGCTTGAAGTTGCAGCAAGTGCACTGTTCAAGCTAATTGGGCTGCTTTGACATCACTTCGTTATCTGGGCATAACTCTCTCATCCGAGCTCCGATTGAGATGATTCAAGATGATATGGAATGATAGGAAAGAGATCTACAACATTCAGGTTTTGAGTTTGGAGATATATTTACTGAAACAAGGTCAAAATCGCGCTTGAAGTTGTAGCTAGTGCACTGTTCATGTGCACTGTTCATGTCCTATTTCATCCCTTTTCTATTTACAATCCATTCCTAAGCCAACCAAATCCATCTCAAACCTCTCCAACACATATTGCTACACCAAACCTATTTAATACAAGTGCTAGGACCTAAAATTTCATATTTTCACTTATTAAAACCAAATTTTAATTATTATTTCCACTAACATTTTAAATATCTATTTTTCCAATCTACCAAATTCAAACACACATTACTACACATATCCACATTTTTACCACAATTATTTACTATATATCTATATACATATATAAAAGAAAATACGGGGTGTTACAATCCACCGCCCTTAAAGAAAGTTTCGTCCTCGAAACTTACCTCAAGTAGCGAACAAATATGGATACTTCTCCCGCATTTCTTGCTCTGGTTCCCATGTAGCTTTCTCCACTCCATGGTGTTGCCACAAAACCTTCACCAATCTGATAACTTTGTTACGAAGCACTTTTTCCTAGGCGTCAAGAATTTCTANCAAATATGGATACTTCTCCCGCATTTCTTGCTCTGGTTCCCATGTAGCTTTCTCCACTCCATGGTGTTGCCACAAAACCTTCACCAATCTGATAACTTTGTTACGAAGCACTTTTTCCTAGGCGTCAAGAATTTCTACCAGTTGGTCTTCGTAGGTTGCTCCGTCTTGAATTTCAATCTCCTCCAAGTTCACGACTGGAGTTGCATCGAGTAACACCTTCTCAACATGGACACGTGGAACACATCATGTACTCCAGATAGCTGAGCTGATAGTCGAAGTTGATATGCCACCTTGCCTACCACTTTGATTACCTCAAACGGTCCGATATATCTTGGCGCTAACTTCCCCTTCTTGCTGAATCGAAACACGCCCTTCTTGGGTGACACCTTGAGAAATACGTAGTCTCCCACCTTGAATTCTAAGGGTCTTCGTCTGTGGTCCGCATAGCTCTTCTGTCTACTTTGTGCCATCTGTAGCCTCTCTTGGATGAGTTGAATCTTCTTCGTAGTTTCTCGAACAATGTCCGGTCCAACCGGTCCAAACAAACTACTCTCACCGGCTTCTAACCAACACATCGGTGATCAGCATGGTCTTCCATACAATGCTTCATATGATGTTACCCCAATACTTTTTCTAATAGCTGTTGTTGTAAGCAAACTCCACCAACGGTAAGTGGTCGCTCCAACTCCCCTTGAAGTCCAACGCGCAAGCGCGTAACATATTCTCCACAATTTGTACCACCCTCTCGAATTGGCCATCCGTTTAGGGATGAAAAGCCGTACTAAAGTGTAACTCCGTCCCCATCGCTTGTTGTAGACTCTACCAAAATCTCACCACAAACCTAGAGTCACAATCCGACACAATCGAGAGTAGAATGCCGTGTAACTTCACTATCTCACGGATATACAGCTGGCTCAAAGTCTCGAATGTATCCGTGGTCTTTATACCCAAAAAGTGAGCGGACTTCGTAAGTCTATCCAAAATGACTCACACTACATTATGCCCACANCTGGCTCAAAGTCTCGAATGTATCTGTGGTCTTTATACCCAAAAAGTGAGCGGACTTCATAAGTCTATCCACAATGACCCACACTACATTATGCCCACGCGACGTCCGTGGTAAACTCGACACGAAGTCCATGGTGATGTGATCCCACTTCCACTCTAGAATAGGCAAAGACTGTAGGACTCCTCCTAGCCTTTGATGCTCAATCTTCACCTGCTGGCACACTGCACATTTTGCCACATACTTGGCCACATCTCACTTCATTCCCCTCCACCAGTATTGATGCTTCATGTCCCTATACATCTTTGTGCTACTGGGGTGAATAGGAAACTTGGAGCGATGACATTCTCCTAGTATCTCCTCCTTTAGGGATGAATCATCGGGAACACATAGCTTCTCCCCATATCTTAACTCTCCATTATTCCAAGACCATCCTTCAATCGCTTCTTCATTCTCCAATCAAGCTCTAATCCAATCGAGTTCGAATCCAGCCGTTGCAACTCCACTACCCTTCGCCGAAGCGTCAGTTGAGCTACAAGGTTGAATAGATATGGTTGATACTCCAGTCCATCCACCCATAGATCATACTCCTCCAATGCATCAATCATTTTCCACCTATTTACTACAAGAAAATTGATTTCACCCCGAGACTTCCTGCTAAGAGCGTCAACAACTACATTGGCCTTCCTCGGATGGTAGTTGAGCGTGAACTCATAA